CAAAATAAAAACGATATTGCACAGCCTAAGTTCTCCTTTATATGTGGTGAAAATTTTGTTTCTTAGTTATGACTGTAACCCGTGTCAAAACGTTTTTTCTATGCCGCGCCGTACGTGTGTAAGACGGAGACAACATAATATGCTTATTTTAATAGCTTGTTCTTTTATTTCAATAAGTAAATAGTAAATATGAGTTTAGTGTAAGTTTAGTTAAGTGCTTAGTAACTTATACGCTTCTGCGGGTTTGCATTATTTGCACCGATGGGCCAAGTTATCGCTCTAATTCCATGAATGGATAAAAATATAATAATAAGTAATAGGTACGTGTTATATTTTAATAATATTAATAATGATTAGGTAACGATCAGTGGCGTACGCAGGATTTTCCAATGGAGGGGGGGGGCTTAAAAATTAGTTACAATTTTATTTTTATTTTGTCCAGTCTAATAATTTCAGACGTTTATTTGAAGTGTTTTAAAATGTATGTAACTTTTCAAATTTTCTGGTAGAAAAAATACTCTGATCATAAACTTCGATGCCCTTCACCCGATGTATTTTTTTGGAAGCAAATTTGATCTAGTTGGTACAAAATTAAATGCTCTGTGCTTTCTAAAATAATTAGAGAAAAAAATGAAAATTTATTAAAATTCTTTATTTGTTTGGTAACTAGCTTGGTTATACCGTTCCCACTTGGATAGTATTTGATTAATTAATTTTTTTTTTCTATAAATGTCAATAAAAAATTATTTTTTAGGTCAAAAAGCTTAAAAATGTAATACTTAAGTTTTTAATATAGCTTAGATATGAACGATACATAGGCATGATTATGGTTATGTATTATAAGCATTTAAAGTTCAAATTTCGTTAAAATCCCGGTTAATTTGTAGTTCAAAACTTATAAAATATTAAATGTGTATAGCTAAGGCTGTTAGCCTCCCCCCGCGGACCCCACTAGTAAGGAGTAATAAGTATATACAAATGTGTGTATTAAAAATTATTTATTTATTAATTAATATATTTAATGTTTGGGATTATTATTATTTTTTTTTATAAAATTAATTTTTACAAAAATGAATATATTTTTAATAATATGTGGTTTGGGAATAAAATTAACTTAACGTGACAACAAAATAAATTAACTCATAAGTTATTGAATAACATGGAAAAAAAAGTAACTCGCTATTTAACTTAGTTAAAAGTAACGTAACTTAAACTTTTTAACTCATTATGTATGTAGCCTTGTGCCCTTGTATATATGTATAGGTAGTATACAGCAGTATGGATCATGGACGGCGAGGAAACGCAAATCGTATTTACAAAATAATATTATATAGTTAGGATGCGATGAGTGATGGTACCGCTATAGTGCAGAAAGTAAATAGTATTATATTATTTCGAGTTCGTCCTATCGCCTCATCGTACATTTAGGTAAACATTATCTCAACAAAAACACTACCTACAGGTACGTGTAAAAAATTTAGCTAAGAAAATAAACTCGAGTTAAAAAAGTTGTGATATCTTAAATTCATTAGTATAGAAATATTGCTTATAATAATATATTATTTGTATATTTGATGAAGTGCAATTATTTGATACAAACAATAAACAATTTAACTCAGTTTGGTGGCTACTAATATTTACCACTGTAACTACAATGCCGACATGAATATATTCAGAATGTTTTTACACCTCTGTTTTATAATTTTATAACATTACCATGACAAAACTGAAGTCCACACATAGGTAGGTACCTACTATGAGTAGCCTCCAATCTGAGTTAAATTGTTTGTGTTCAGTAATTTATCTTTGACAACATTTAAGTCCACACATATTGTACCATGTGTAGCCTCCGAAGTCCAAGCTGAGTTAAATTATTTGGCGTATAGTATAAAAGTCTTAAGTCAAAACGACTAGTTTTTAGGAAGATTAATCAAAATATTGAAAAATCATCCAAAATCTTAGACAGTAGTGTCTGGGCTGATAATTAATTTAATTTAATATTTAATGTAGGTACCAACTTTCATGTGTTAACTATAAAGTAGAATTTTAAAATCAATTCTTCATTACTTTTAAGTGACTTAAGCTAGTTGGATTTTTATTTTATATGACTTACACTGTCGCGGCATTCATTTAAAATTATTACTAAACTTGACTCAAGATATTAAGACCATTTTAAAATTTGATTCTCTCTAAAGATAAATTTTCAATTCTTAACTAGTGTTTTGTACCCAATATAATGTGACTTAAAATGTTTAGACCAAAAAAAATTCACAAATAGTGAGTTATAGTTTTGACTTAGGTACGTGATCTGTACCAACAAAATATACAAATATAAAATGTTTGATTCTAATAATACTATAAGCCAAAAATTTCAATTTTTTCCTTAAGTCATTTATACCATACGCTAAAGAATTATTTGTAATTTATCGCGTTTCGCCAACACAGATTATTAGGACGTAAACACGCGTCCTTTTAAATATTATTATTCGAAAATAATATAATAACTCGTATGAGTCGCAGGTGCTATTATTATAATTATTATTATTGTACCAATATTAACGATATTATTATGAGCTCGTGTCGGTCTGTTATATTTTACGTGTACATAATAATATTAGTAATACATAATAACATTATTATGATATTATACGTTTACACGCAGTGGTCGGGACGCTACTGTTTTTTTGTAGCACGCTAAGGCTACTGCTACTCCCCAAAAAAAGTAGCTCGCTATCGCTAAAGCTACTTTTTTTAAATGTAGTGCGCTATTTCTAACGCTATTTTTTAAATGTAGCGTGCTACTTTTTCTCTACATTTTTTTTGTTTATTTAGATATTCACTTGAGTTCTTGGTCATTATTTGTTAATGCCTACCACTATTTTCTTATAATTTCGGAAGGCAGGTTTATTAAGTGTAACTCATGTATTATTGTAACAAAAATCAAAACAAATAAACGTTTTATTGAAAATTGCTAACTAGTTGAATATGACGTGGTGGCTTCAGGTTCTGTCATTTTTAATTCAACTATTCAAAATATTTAAAACTTAAAATAACACAGAAAAGTAGAAAACCCTGAATTCCGAAAACAAAAATAGTGATAATAAAATACTAATATATTAAATATTATTTATGGTTCTGTTTTCAATAATATAAAATATTACATTGTAATAATGCACTTATGATTATAGTCTAATCTATCCTGTCTTAACTTAGTCCGGTCCGGGCTAAAGACGAAAAAATCAAAAATACACTCATCTTGTCATCTTAATTAAATAAATAAATATACATCATGATATTTTAATTATCATGAAATAGGTTAGAAGTAGCGATAAAATAATGAACATTTTCGCTACGCTAACCGTAAATTTCTAGCGCGCTATAGTATTTCTCTACATTGTATATACTGTAGCGACGCTATGTTAATCGCTACAGCTAAAGTAGCGCGCTACTCCCGACCACTGTTTACACGTACACCGCGCGCGTTGTGCTCATGCAGTGTAAGCAATCGTCTTATTGTTCCGCAGCATTTCCGCGTGAAAAACGGCGCGTAATCTGGCGCGCGCGACCAATGGGAACGCGTCCGGACGACGCGCTTACCCCATAATACTGCACCTCCCCATAGACGCCACGTCGGAGTCTGCGCCGGGCCGGCGTTAATTATTATTCGAAAACGTTTTTATTCCCACGAAAATCGGTGGTTCGAATCGAATTGCGTTGTACCGGAGACGTACGTGGACGACGCGCAATACGCTCGCCGCCAAACGGTCGGCCGTCGGAGGGCGCGCGCGCATGGAGGCCGTGTCCGCGGCGCGGCGGCGGCTACCGTGAACTACGACCACGGACCGCTATTGTCTCGGTGGCGCGCGCGTTGGAGACGACTGTGGGCGGAGCGGTGGTGGTGGTGGTGTCGGCGGCGGCGGCGGTGGTGGCGCGGGTGGGAGCGGTGATGGTTGTTGCGCGACGGCGGAGGCGGGGCGGGGGGCGGCGGTGGCGACGCAACGCAATGGAAAGGACTTTTTATCATTATCAAATTTAGTTTACTTTTCGTTGTCGTTCGGCTGGTCGTCTCTGCCGTCGTCGCGTGCCATATTTTTACTTACGTCGTCGTCGTCAGACCAGTTGTGGCGGGCCCGCGACTCCGACGCTGCTTGACGCTTTTCCATGGATCTCGACCAGAGGTGAGTGCAGAGACGCAATCGAAACGATCATCAGCCGCGCGCCCCGCGCCGTCGTCCAACACCGTGGCCGCCGCCGCCGCGCGCGTCCCGTTCGCCGTCGCTGCGCGCGTACGCATCGGTCGCAGGTTCGGGCCGTCCGCCGTTTTGAGCGCGTGTCCTTTGTCCCTTTGGGCCCTCGCCGTCAGTCAGTCGTTGGCGCGCTCGAACGCGACGCAGCAACAACCACCGCCGCCGCCGCCGCCGCCGCCGCTGGTGGTCCTCCGCCGTATGTTGCCCCTCGCGACGGGGAGTCGATCCTTACATTTTTTTCCCTCTCTCGGTCCTTAAGCTTCGACCCTCGAAGCATTCCTCGTTCAGTCCACAGTCATCCCTTTTGTCGAGTTGTTGTCTTTTACTCTACGGCAGCGTTCTCGTTCGGTCCGGTCATCGCTACTCTACGGCTTTTTCGATCGGCTTTGTTCAATCCGCATCCGTGTTCCAAAATATATTATGTTCCCACGTCACAAATTCGTCGGTTGCGTCAATGTGTTGTAGATTTTCATAATTGTTAAATTTTACGGTAATCGATGTACGTTGCATTAGTTATATAAGTATACTTTGAAAAGAATATATTACTTTACCTAAGCTCTTTTCAATTTATTTTATATTGTGCGCTTGTAATTATTAAAGATTATTGCTCTTCTGTACACTACCTACTTACTTTTGTACTTGATTATATTTGCTTAACATTTTTACACATTTTTTCACAGGTTATTTGTGCCAACATAACACTGAACACCAAAATAATGTTTTGTATGGACCTGTGAAATAACTAAACAAATCATGGAGCTCCAAAATTGCTTACCGTCTATGAAAAATGGTAAGTTGTAAGATTTTATATTCTTTATTATGTATTATTATCCAATTTAGGTAACTTAGTATAGGTGCCTAGTACAACTCGATAAATATTAAATATATTTTTTTATTTGTTAAATTTTTTAAACAGTTAAATAAATTGTTGCCATTCGATAGACAATATTATGTAGGAGCTATATAAAACTATAAATTCCTTGTTATAATTAATATTTCCAATTATAATAATAAGATTAATGTACCTAATTGATACATTAATTTATTGTTAAAATGTTTATAACTACCTATTTATAAAAGTATTGAATTTTTTAATTCAAGTAAAATATTGTACTTTTAGTATTGAAGTAATTAAATTGTTAGGTATCTACCTATTAGGTAACTTATTAAGGAAAAAAAAATCACAATTTATGTAGGTACCTACGTAGCTAATCTATTGATAACTTTCTTAAGTTTTAAACAATATTATAGTTTTTTTTTGTACCTAACCTAATATAAAAATAATATTAAGTTATACCTTGGTACCGTGCTTTATAAGCAGGACCGAGATTTTATAGCACTTTGAATTGCATAAATATGCGCTGTAAAATTACCTTAAATAATAGGCAATAAAACAACAAAATATGAAAAAAAAAAAAGGAAATTTATTATTTAATAATTTTTAATCACTTACAAATTATTATATGTAGTTACCTACTTAAGTTTTGAAATAATTTTGCCACTGATCAGAATCCTGAAAGGCTATAAAAAAAAATACCTAACACGGAATTAGTGTAATAATTCGATTGATGAAAATCTAAAAACACGTTTACTAAAATATAATTTCATAAAATATGACCAATTTTGATTTAAAAACAGGTAAAAATGCAAAAAAAGTGTCAAAAGGTCTTAAAAAAGCACTAAAAACTAAAAAATCTAAATATGCAAAAAAAACACAATAAAATACTTTATTTGGGTTCTCTGAATCATGAAACAAATGTTTAGCTTACTCTGCTATTTTTCAAGCATCTCAAAAGAAATATGCAAATGCTATAAAATTCCAACCCTTTTAATAAGTGATTCAGATCCGTCTAACCTGGCAATGTTTTCAAATTTTTAGAAAATTAAAACAATTTTGAAATTTTGTTATTCATTTATATTTTTAATTTAATATTAAAATTACATTTTTATTATTTTCTCTTAACTAAGTGTCAAAATACCTAGGTATATACTATATAGGGAGTGTTATTACCATAATTTTGGATTAAAATATGTTATACTTAACTATGTCTCATAAAATTATATATTCTTAGAAAAACAATTTTGTATGTACTTATTACTTTATATTGTGTACCTATTATAGATTACAAAATGAATGAAATGAACGACCAACAAGAAATGATGAACAATGTACAAGGATGGAACACAATGCCATCACATGATATTATGATACCAGTTCCGATAAAAATCCAACCACCTATCGGTATTATGGACCAAAATAATATCCAAATGAATAATTCTAGTCCACATCCAAGCGTCATACATACAAGTCCCCAGACACCACATGTAAGTAACTTCTATAACATATTATACTAACATATGGTTTCCTATTTAAACATATTACATTATTTTTAGGGCTTGCCAATAAATACGTATATTGAACCTGAATTACCACTAGAGCTGTTGCAACAAGGATGGAAAAAATTTTGGAGTAAACGTGAGAACCGGCCTTATTTTTGGAATAAGCTGACTGGTGAATCTCTGTGGGAGTTCCCACCTTTGAGACAGGTGTGTATGAACTTAGCCATAAAAGTCATATAGTATTGCATTATATAATCAAAATTTTCAGTTTGACGTTATATCAGACCCTCTGGGAATAACAAGCGATGGTCAACATAATGGAACAAATCCAATGTTAATGAAAAAAAGACCAGCAGAAGAAATAGTTTTGGGCCCTGCGACAAAAAAAATGATACTGACGTAAGTTTTTGATACTAAAAAATTTAGAAAATTATATGTTAGTATATTTGTGTGTATCAAAGATGTATTATAGAATTTAACGCCCTGCTCGTATGTTAGATGGTTTATAATTCGGTAAATTTTGTTGAACGGAAAATATTGTTATTCACCAGTCATTTACGTGATTAAACAAAAATATTGGTAATTATCGTGATGGAGGTATTTTTAAATCTAAAACTGTATTATTATTATATAAACTTATTTGTTTTTACATAAAGCACTGTTGTGACATTTACTATTGCATAACTTTTCAGCCCTGCAACAATTACAACATTTATTATTGCAACAACTAACAATCCTTAAAATTAATTTCAACGCTGGTACCCTCGAGGGACCCGCTTTTCTCTGTTTCAACTGTTTACCATCTGCTAATTAAATCATGTAACCCATGTAATATCAGTTTTTCTTTGCATGCGGTTATTTCTTTCAGTATTCATTTCTATAGCCATTATGCAAGGTGCATACCCCGACAGTTACACACATACTAAAGTATAATCTTCTATATAATTTTTTATTTTGACTATATTATCACCCACCAGTGTTGGATCACCACCGTGCATGAATCCCTGTGACCAATAAAGTTTTATTAGGTTTACCCACAAATTATACAGTACTTTGATATATTTTTAATTCAATTTAGCCATCATCTTATCATTGTTCGTTGGACATCTATCTTAGTTGCTTGTTTACCTGAACCTGACTCGTTTTCAGTCACAGACTTACAACTTAATCATAGTTCATAAACATCTCGTATCTGATTATTATCAAAATTTCCCATTTAATAGGATTATTAATGTGATTCACCAAAATATCATGATAATTACCACATTTATAGGCACCTAGCGTTAATGAATCGCTAATAACATTACATTCCTGTATTATGTAATTTACCGTAAATTATAAATTACATAAGAAAGGATCAACATTTTCTTTTTTAATTATTATAAATAAAATTACTAGTTAAATTAATTTTTTTGTAGTGGTCCCTGGGAACTTGAAATACCTACAAATGTTGTTATATTTGAGCGATCGCCATCTACGCTGTCTCAGCCACATCCAGATATCGAGTTTTACCGTGGAAATTTGGTAGCAAAATTAAGACAATGTTTCCAAGAACTATGTCAGTCCCGAGAGAGTAAGTATTCCAATATAATTTTGTGAATAAGAATTACATTGTATTCATAAATATTTTGTTCATAATTAGATATCAATGCACCAAAAGAATCCTTCAATCGTTGGCTTATTGAGAGAAAAGTAGTTGATACTGGTACTGATCCATTATTACCTTCTCAATGCTATCCAGAAGTGTCTTTAAGAATGTATAACGAAATAATGAATGATATACCATTGAGATTGGCTAAGCCTAAGTATACTGCAGATGCCCGGAAACAACTATCCATATACGCCGAGGCAGCAAAAAATCTCATTGAGTCTAGGTATATTATTTTATTTAATAAAATCACGAGGAAACCTCCATGTTGTTCTGTAAAAAAAAAACATTTAGCACTATAAAGTTGTGATATCATATTGTATTGCTTGTATAAGTAAACCGTAAATATTAGGCAGGTACTCAAACTTTTAATATTTACTTGGCTAGAATTATTTTTTCAGCGATAGGTGAGGTTAATTTCTTTTTTTTCCAAATTTACACTGTGTGTTCAATAAACCATATGTATTCATGTACAATAGTCATATAAACATTAGCTTATTGTGTGCAATAACATGACTGCACAACTTACGCATGATAAAGAAACTTTTATCACTTTTAACTTATTCACGAGTAAATTACGCCACCTTAGCTAACAATGTTTGGGCTGCATTCTTACCGCTATCTATATTTTAACATAGCTCATGCTATCACCGCGGCGCTGGACTTATTACTTATTAGTTGCAATAAGTCAATACTGTAAAACTTATCAAAATGGTACATTAATTTGTAAAATAATTTGTTATTTTGGGGCTTAATGTATATTGCCTACTTAAAACATCCAGCGGTTTCTTACAGTAATTGATTTTATGTTGACTATCTAAATAATTCTACAACATTGGGAATATATAAAAATTATTTTGTGTTAAGTCTTCAAATTATAGTGGATTAGGATTAAATTTTGTAGTTGAACATCTTAAGGGTGTCTTGAGTCTGGCGAGCAGAATAGGAATAAGGGAAGTCATGATAAAGAATAACTATACTTGTGGCCACATTCTTCAGTTGTAAAATGTTCATTCCTTTTTCACGCATTATAAAACGTTAAAGAGTAGCCAAACTATGATTGTTTCACTGTTCTCTTCATATTTTCTGATTTCATTTTTTTTAAACTAACATGTATTTAAGGGTTATAGTTGTCTACTAATTATATTCACTATTAATTTATTAATTTGTGGATTATATAGAAACACACTTCAAGAGAGTAGAAAAGTTGTAAAATGGAACACTGAAGATACATTGCAGTGGTTAAGGAAGACAGTGGGTGCCACGTATGTTGATTTCCAAGAGCGGTTAAACCATCTAAAGGTAACAAGCACAGTAAAATGTTCTTAAAAACTATTTTTTATAATATTGTTTAATATATTTTACAGATGCAATGCCAACCGCATATAGCTCAGACCGTCAAAGAATCTGTGGAAGGCATCTGTTCAAAGGTATACCATTTATCTGTCGAATACGCTCGCAAGGTAAAAGAGAAAAATAGTGAGCTTTTGATTGCACAAGGAATTACAGGTTAGTCAAAACAATTATTTTTTTTAAGCTTTTATTGACAAACAACTTCATTGTGGTATTTCTTTTGGGTAATAATTTTTAATTGTAATGAGTTTGGTTTCTATTTGAATGATCTTCTTTATATTCTATACATAAACTAATGAATGATCGACATTTTTCAGAAAATGGTTTTTTGTAATCGTTCTAAGCATTCTGTTGAACTTAACATAAAGTCAATTAAAGTTATTGTTATTTAATATATATTTTGTTTATAATTCATTGTCGGAAAATCATAATATTGTATAATAAATTATTATTGTATGTTTAGAAATGCCACCAGCTCCTGCAGTATTAACTTTACACAAAGTCTGGTGTTATCCTGTTCAGTTTGTTACACCTGCTCCGCGTCTTCCACCAGTTGAATACATGGCTGACAAAGAACAGACTTATGTTCGGTTCAATGGAGAGAGGTTACTCATCAATACTGTGTACCTCCAAAAGTTGGTAAGTGATTTTGTAACTGTGATTATCCAAAACGTAATACTATAGTAATCACTCTTCAGACATTAATTATTGTAAAATAAACGTTTGATGATTTACAGGAACAATTGTATCGCTACAGTTGTTATGAGGACAAAAAAATGGAAAACTTTATGGCCAGAGTTTGGTGTTTGTTGAAAAGGTACAGTGTCTTCTGCTCTAACAGTCCTGATACACAAGTATCAGTGCCGGTGCCTATCCTTGAATCTCTGCACAGGAATTTTGGTGTGACATTTGAGTGTTTTGCGTCACCCCTGAATTGCTATTTCCGACAATATTGCTCAGCGTTTCCAGACACCGACGCCTATTTTGGATCCCGAGGGTTTGTTTTGCTTATCATAGTAGTAGTTTTTTTTCAAAAATAGGTAAATCTGGTATTATGGAACTATGTATAATATTCTATTATGTCTGTACCAACCAAAATTCTCATATTCTATTTACAAGTATTTTTGATAAGTACTGTGTAATAATAAGCTTTTAGATTTTTATTCTATACGTAAAATTTTTATTATGACATGGATATTTTGCAAACAAATAATATGCTATTTTTGTGCATGATAAGAAAATATATTTTAATAATAATTATTAATTCATAACTTTGTTTTTTATGTTCAGTTCCATTTTGGATTTGAATGCTGTAAGCGGGTCATTTATGGTAAATCCACCTATACACTGTGATGATCTAATTGACGCGACTCTAAATCATATTGATCGATTGTTATCTGAGTCAAGCGAGCCTCTATCTTTCATCATATTTTTGGAGGATGGTGAAACTACATTTGTCCAGAAGTTAGACACTAGTCAATTCAAACGTCGTCAGGTGGTTATCCCAGCTTATGAACATTATTACAGACATGGTTTCCAGTACAGTGTACCAAAGTATGTATTTAACATTGCACAAGACACATAAAAAATTATTTATTTCATAACTGTTGTTGGATTTTTAGGACAGACGTAAACATTCGTTCTCCCACAAGTACGTTAGTTGTGTGGCTTCAAAACAATGCCGGGTGTCAGCGATGGAGTCCTAGCGAAGACAGGGTTGAAGCTTTGTTGGAAGCGTTCCGTCCAGGACGAGAACGTGATCGTGACCGTCAGGAACTGCTTTCGCCAACACCAAATCCTTTATTAGGCCCCCCGCCACTTCCTGTTTAGAGTTAGTAGATAATGTATACATAAATTTTAACTATGTGTATATATTATATATATACATATTTAGTGGATGTGTATGTGTACAATTTGTTTGTACATACACAAACACAATAGGCAATTATGGTGTCTAGTTTTACTCAAATTTATATTTTTTATGTTCATTATACACCGGTGTATAATTTACTCTCATTAAATTATAGTTTTTTTTTATACATTCATATAATGTATAATATATAATATGGTAATAATATAATTATTGAATTTTACTTAATGCGAACTCTGATCCATAATTGCTGTTTAAATTTCCTTTACCTAATGATAAGTATAAACATTTTAAAATGTTAAAAATAACATTTTTGACTTTGAAAATATGTGTATATAGGTAGATTTTTTAGTTATCGTTTTGTTGATTTATCTATTTGCTAGTATAAGATAATTTATTATTCTGTCGTTAATCGACAGAATATAAATTTGAAACAAAATGTATCAGAATTTCGTCCAAATATTCATAATGATTGCAATGGATTATTTGCTGTTTTTAATATTTTTTATAAAAAACAACATTTTCCTAAAGCACATTTAAGAATATCGAATTAATGTTATTTAGAATTTGTAAGGGCTTAGTACTTAAGTGTTAAGTGAAAAATAGAAACCTAATAATTTTCTTTACATAATTATTCCACTTAATTGACTTATATAAGTATAATATTATTGTAATTCTATAGTACTATTTACCAAGCTGTTGTCCCTTGTGAATCTAACCAACTAATTGGACAACAATAATTCATTGCTACTCGAAATTTATGGTTAACTAAGTATAAAAGTAACTTTTCTCTTTGTGTAACCTCCTAGTTGCGCACAAAATGTACTTTAATGGTATTCTATATTTTATTGATCGTCATTAGCGGACTTATATCAGTACTTAAGTGTTTTATTATTAATTTTTCAATGTAACGTAACTCTTATAATATTATCATTATTGAATTAAGTCATCTTAATAACATACTTAAAAAATACAGAGCATAAATATCATAGTTCTCCATCTTTTAAACATTTTTTTTTGGTTTTTATCCCTTACAGCTATTATATTAGTTGCTTATCATTGTCATACATATTACACTTATTATTTTTCTTTGAATTTTACCAATTTTACACATCCATTAATAACCAATAGCCTTAAGTAGTTTACCAAAGTTTTGATTGTTCTTTTATTCATTTACTGCTGTTTCACAATGATTGTGTTTTGTCTTTGTGGGTAGTAGTACAGTAGATGTAAATAATATAATATTATATGTATAATGATAATAAATGTTACTGTTAAAAAAAATTAGTAAGTAAGATACATTTAGTTTATTTTAAAATGATTATTGTACTTTGTTATATCTTTAAGCTATTCGTGAGATAATTCAACTCCTTTTTTTTCAATTGAAAAATATTATATAGTATTATTGTTCGAAAATATTTTTTGTTGTATCAAGTTTTCAATTTCAAGTTATTGTTGTGAAGTAGTTAAAATTCTTAAATATGTTTTTTTTTTTTTTTGGTCAAGGCATTGGTTTCTGACAATTTAAAGAGTGTTGTGGTCATATACTAAAGTAGATGTGATTAACCAGTTTGTTGTTAGATGACATATAGTTACATTATCAGTAATCATGCAAGACATGTCACATTTTCCTTATAAATCATGTTTTTTCCATTGAAAAAAATTATATTTATATCGACAGTATATATAATATGCGTAAATGGATATATACTAAATAAAGGTGTCCACTTAAGTAATGTAATTTTTATAAATTAAGATTTTGTCGATAACAATTATATATTATCTTTGTTTACAATTTGTTTCATTACTTCGATAGCATAGTGCACACATGTTGTAAGTGACATTTTTGTAATTGTTCAGGAGAACGACAATTGTAATTTCACATCACGCAGATTACATGCACTACAACAAACGCGCAGACCTCTAGCAGACTAAATATGTACTATACACTTACAACATTTGAACACAATATGTAGAAAGTTGTCAGCAATACAGCCATGCAAAAAACTCATTTATCTGAATTTTGCACTTACAACATGTGTGCACTATGCCATCGAGTCTTCATCTCTAATGCTTGGCCAATAAACTTAATTAAAATTTGTCAGAACCCACAGCTTTACCCTGTTCTTTTTTCATTAACCAAATAGGTTTGCAATGTATCCATGTTTTAATGCATTGTAAAAAAAATTAATTACTAAGTAATGTAAAAAACTGTAAACATAGTATGTTAAATTACTATGGCTATATTATGATTTAACATTATTGTCAATCTGGGCTGAGTAGTACTATTGTGTATTTTTTTTTTATTATCATTATTATTGTATAACAAGCTATATTTTGTTTGTAGTGTGATTTTTATTTGATTTAATGGTATCGAATTTAAACATGCAATGGTTTGAGTGCGTATTACATAATTTTGTTTTTGTAATTTTTACATAAATATTATATATTATACAAAACTATTATTTTTAAGTTATTGTACCGGAAATATGAATACTATTCACTTGTTTTCGCATCAGTACATTATGTTTATTATGGTTTTATTTTTATAATTTATTGAATTATATTATGAATTAAATGTTCCCCTCCCTAAAATGAAATGATTAAAATATATACGCTTATTCACTATGAAATGCATTTTTAATTATGTTCAAAAGTTGTAATTGTTGTAAATATAATTCTCTTTGTCATTGTGGAATCTATGCGAATGTGTTGTGACGCTGGCCATTCATTTTATGAAAAGCACAACTAAATATTATTGTACAATTTATGAACATCAGCTATAGATCGACTTGATGTGGCTAGTTTTTACCAATTTTGTTTGCTAAATGGTACCTTCACTTTCCTGCAGCAACAATATACTTTTTCATAAGCAAAATCAAATATTATGTTATTTTCATATATTAGAAATTTTACTAATTCATTTAAGGCAATTTTCTATGTGCGGGTCATGTAAATCTAAGCGTCTGGCTGTGTGTAAAAGAAAAAGCGGAGAGCTCTCGCACATGCATACACATGTCAATAACGCGCTACATGAATATTATTGTTTTTTTTTTTTTTTTTTGATTTATCAGTTTTTTGACTATTGTATTAATTAACCTATTTATCAGATAAATGTTTTAATTCATCATGAAATTTATTTGAAAAAAGACTCGTACATTCTTAAATTCACTTCAACACAATTAATATACACTTTAAGATTCATTATTAATACTCAAAATTAAAAAGTCTTATTCTGAAATGTGTAATAGTACAATTTCACAAAAGAGTACCTAATAGTCTTTTTCAAGCAATCTTCATGAGAAATGCAATGTTATAACTCAGGGAAGTCTCTCTCCTGTAGTAGGTACCTACTACACAATATTATATTTTATAGTAGGTTTAATATGTACCTACTTAGTCATTGCGAAATAATGTTTGTATTAAATTTGAATTCAATGAAAAATTTGCATACCAAAAACCGTTCAGAGAACTCTGTTTCCAAACAATAATACCCAATTATAATATTATTATGTCACATTTCATTATTGCTATTAAGGCCACGCCTGCACTTGTTGTCTCCGTCTTACAAATGTAAGACGTAGTAAAAACCGTTTTGAGGCTGTTAAGAACCACTCAGGCTGTAGTCTAAGATAAATGTTCACACTATGAAGAGGAGGCACATATTTTACTGTGAAATATTGTTTTTATTTGTTCGATATCAGAACTAAAATAAAGTTATTCAATTTTGAAACAGTCAAAAATATTGAATTTTTAAACAATAAGAACTTTTTTGTATTTGTGATATTGAAAAATTAAAAACAGCGCTTTACAGTCATCGCAATGGTCTCCTCTTTCTAGTGTGAACATTTGATTGCTTAACTTGGACTACAGCCTGAGTGTTTCTTGTCCGCTCAAAACCGATTTTGCTAAGTTTTACATTTGTAAGACGGAGTTAACACATGTGGGCGTCTAGCGTTTTCTTAACACTTTTAAATCCATGCAGTTTGACGGTGCAAATATGTTTGAGGTATAAACTATATATACCACAAGTTTTATGCCTAGTTTAAAATAAATTTAAATATTTTGAAAATGTCATTGTGTGTGAAAATAATAAATTAATAATACCTACTCATATTAATTAATCGCCAGTTGTCGTTTGCTCATCACTAGGGTTCGGATTTGAAGGCAAATGCCTTTTTTTTATTAATCATAATAGAAAAATAATTTTTATACAAAAATATGTTTCATTTAATTTCTTAGAGAATGGATCTTTTTTTTTTTTGCCTTTTTTTGCTTTTTTACTTATAAATGCCTTTTTGCCTTTTTTTACCTTTTGTTTATTTTGCATTAAATTAACTGGTATAACTCAAGTAAGTTAATATTTAAAATTGTTTTTAACTAATTCTTAGGACAAACCTGGTTAAAGAAAAAGGTACCTAATCTATTTATACAAAATAGCATAAACTTAATGTAGTTTAGTATTCATGCTCATTTTTAATTTGTATTTTTCTCAAAATATGTGCATTTAAAAGTGTTTAAAAAATGTTCACTATTTTATTTTGTAGTATATTTATGAATTGCCTTTTTATATAAATTAAATGCCTTTTTTTTGCCTTTTTTTTACATTTTAAATGCTTTTTTTATTGATTATATTGCCTTCAAATCCGAACCCTACTCATCACCATTGTTAATTTTAACCTTTTTTGCAAGCCTGGGCATACAAGTTAAGTCAATTTAACTTTTTTAACTCAACTGATTTTTATTGATATAAACCAAGGCTGGGCAAGTTAATGATATTTTTTAAAAAATTCATTAAAATTAGTACCTATCATAATCACTTTTATAGCATTACACCTATCAAAGTTGAAAGTATTAATCTATGGATATATTTATTATTATGTAATATGTATATTGTATAATTTAAAACCTGTAGGGCTGTATAATTTTGGAATTCTATTTCAGAGTTCATGTAAAAATA